GCTCTATAACTTCTATTTGATTATCTGCGAGCGCTTTCGACAGCTGGTCGTGCTGTCATCCTCTAGGCACTATTCTATCTGAACGTGTCATCCTGCGTGTGTCCTTTTATACGGTCCGAACGCCTCAATACAGGTACTTCTGTTGCTTTAGGTGAATTTACCTGAATTTGGATCACATCAGGTACAATTCTTTGGGTTGGTTTATTGTTTCTAGGAGTTGAAACTTCTCTAGGTTTATTGTTTCTAGGAGTGTATATTGATTTGTTTAATATATTGAATGTTAGGTCTTGTTGTGTTTTGATTTGTACTTGTTCCTCGATAAGTGATTTATGACTGTTGAATTTATGGGTGTTTAAGTTTTCCCAAATGTCCATGCGGTTTCCCTTATTGACTTGTTTTATGAGTTTTATGTTCTCTGGTGGGGGAAAGTTATGTTTGTTTTGTATGGCGTGTGTTGCGAGGTTTGATTTATATACTATTGGGTTTATGTATGCCTTTTTGTGTTCATCGTACCTATGGATCAGTTTTTTCTTGGTTTGGCCAATATGGAATCTATTGCAGTCCGAGCATTGCATACTGTATATCCCGTTTTGGTTTTTATCTTCTTCTTTTTCATAGCTGTTTATTTTTTGTGTTATTTTCGTGTTTGTCTTGTATGTGATGTTGATGTTCAAGGGCTTGAAGATGTTTGTTAGTTTTTTGGTTTGGTGTCTTAAGTACGTAAATGCTGTCCATCGTTGTGTTGTTATATGCAGCCATTTTTTGTGATGGTGGACGGTTTGAACTTGCGGGTATGGTGGAGCTTGTTTGTGTAGGTTTCCTGTATATTGCCATTTGAAATTGTGTTTTGTTGTGGTTATATTCGATGGTTATGTACAGGTAGTTAAGATTCGAGTTGTTTTCTTCCTCAATGCTGAAAAATAGCTATTGATTTATTTCGTTAATTTCTTTTGTTATTTGATCTATTCTCATTCCATTGTTTTGTGCTATGTACAGTCCATCGTCAACGTATCTGAACCATTCTCCTTTTTCATCATGTGTTTTTATTATTGTTAAGATTTTGTCATCTATGGTTTGCAGGTATATTTCGGATATAATGCTAGATAGTGGGGATCCCATCCCTAGTTCATCTGTTTGTTTATAAATGTTTCCTTCAAATTCGAAATGATTTTGATTGAGTATTGTATTTAGACTGTGTTCCATTTGGTTAATGTAGGTTTTGTCTATGTTTTGGTGTTTTAGTTTATCGGATATGATGGTTATACTTTCGTTGACTGGTATGTTGGAGTACATGTTTTTTATGTCGAATGAGAATAGTTTAGTGTTCGGGCTGAAATTTGTCCTTGAGATTCTGTCTGTGGGTTCCATTGAATTTTTGATGCTGTGGTTGTTGTTCCTGTTGATGTTGTTTTTATTATTGTTAAGATTTTGTCATCTATGGTTTGCAGGTATATTTCGGATATAATGCTATATAGTGGGGATCCCATCCCTAGTTCATCTGTTTGTTTATAAATGTTTCCTTCAAATTCGAAATGATTTTGATTGAGTATTGTATTTAGACTGTGTTCCATTTGGTTAATGTAGGTTTTGTCTATGTTTTGGTGTTTTAGTTTATCGGATATGATGTTTATACTTTCGTTGACTGGTATGTTGGAGTACATGTTTTTTATGTCGAATGAGAATAGTTTAGTGTTCGAGCTGAAATTTGTCGTTGAGATTCTGTCTGTGAGTTCCATTGAATTTTTGATGCTGTGGTTGTTGTTCCTGTTGATTTTGTTTTTCAGTTTGTCAAGCTTTGGTAAAATCGATAACTGGTCTTATAGGTTTATTTTCCTTATGTATCTTTATCTGTGCGTTGAGTTTTGGTGCTTTCGGGTTGTCGACTTCTATCTGTTCAATGTTTTGTTGTCGAAATCTGTTTGTTGGATTTTATTAGGCTAGTAATTTGCTTTTCAAATTTTGTGATTGGATCGTGATTCATCGTACTAAAATCGTTTTCCGTTATGTAATTGTTCACTATCATACTTAATTTCATAATTGAATAGAACTGGCCGATACTTGATGAAAACCCTTATTCAAAAAACTAATAAGTAGAGTTTATTCTATGATGTTCACTATAAGGGTTTTACAGAAACCGCGACACATGTTTCGCTATATAATAGCTTCTTCAAGCATAACTAAAGTTACTTCTAAAATACACCTTATATAAAAAAAATGTTTTAGGGAGGAACAAGCTGTCGAATACGCTTCGCTGAAAAAAGAACTAGATCAAACAACAAAGAACTGTAGAATATTGTCTTTCAAGTTGCGGAAATCAGAAAGGAAATTGTCGCAAGTAGAATCAGAGAAAGCCAAATTAGAGACACAATGGAAAAAGGTGAGCACATTTCAACTTTGAAAATACAGCCATTTAGATATACAAAAATGTGTACTCAATACTGTTTTCAGATTTCAGAAACTGAGGCAACATCGAATGCACATGAGCAATACAAAAAATTCAATTATTCTGTTTTATCTCGACTCAAAGAAGAATCACAGAAAATTCAAATTGAATCGTCAGAGTCTAATATATCTGATGGAATGGCCAATGAACGTAGTTCAAAAGATGAAGTGAGTATTGAATTTATTGAAACGAAACACACCATTGATTTGACTTTTTAAGAGAGTTTCAAGGGCAGCTTTCACCAGAGGAGGGTCACAAGATGATTCTGCTCAACTTCTGAGAGATCTTCAAGATTCTCTCGAACGGGAAGCTGATCTCAAGGAGCAACTGAAATTTGCTGAAGAAGAGGTATCATAGAGTATATATAGTAGTAGTATATAGAATTTGAGAAACTACTTCAGTCAATGATTCATTTATAATTTGTCAAACATCAACGACATCATACATCAACTACAAATATTTCTAATATATGTCAAATCAACGAAAACAATATCACATTACAGAAGTTTGATGAAAATTAGTAACTTTCGCAGTATGTTCTTATTGTTCCAGTTTTCAACCAACATGAACTAAAACCCTTAAAAGTCGTAAGTTGTGCAAGCTTAGGTTTGTGAAGGTCTTTCAATGTGTGAGTTTTTGCATGGTCGAACATTCTGCTCCAAAAATTTTTCCTAGAACTGGTCTCGTATACAAATATTTCCCCTCGATGTTGTTACACTGTCATTTCAATTCTCCATTGAGGGTACATTTGGTGTTAATGGTTTTCTGACGAGAACGAAATCTACCAAGTTTTGAATCACAGTCGAAAAGTTCCTAGTAGAACTCATATAAATAGCGCTATTCTTTGGAAATTTTGTATGTGGAGGAGACAATCATTTTTACTTCTTCAGTGTGCAATTTTTTAACTGCAACAAAATCCTTCGAAAACATTCCTCTAGAGGTGATTTCAAATTGAATGAGCTATCTCTTATATTTTTAGGAACTCTATCTCTATTTTTTATGTTTTTGAACTTGTTGATTATACTAGCTAGGAAAACCTCAACTTCTAAACGTATCATATTAGCTAGATTATTATCACAGGGAACTGTGAAGGGAACAGGGGAACAGGGAACAGGAAGAGTAAAACGTTTACAAATTCCTTAACAACCTCATACTGAAAAGGTTTCTCACACTAAATTTAGGAAAAATGCACATGAATCATGTACAAAGTTGGATGCAAGGTTGGCAAAGGATGTTATTGCAGACATTCAAAATTCTTGGTCAAGTACTTTTCCTGGATCTGGCCTATTAGCCTTGAACAGATAACGTGTACAGGACTAGTACTAGAGTGCCACCAAGATTTAACCAAAGCCTCGGTAAATAATAACATTATCCTGAAGTGGGTTAAAGGGCACGACTGAAGTAGAAGTAATCGTCCTGCCGACCCTTCAGCCAAGAAAGCGACTGGACTGAGAATTCTAGGACCCAGTGTCACTTATGATCTGATGACTTCGACAGTTGCGGAACTAGCCCATGCTCAATCCCCGAAGAAATGGAATGGAATCAGAGGATGCAGTCTTACCAAGATCATCCTGAGTGATCCTGGGAAGCTGGCGCTGAAGAAATATCTGGCGATGACCAGAAAAAACCTACGCTCAGCAGTAGGATTTCTGACTGGTCACTGTTAACTGAGGGAGCACCTCCATATTATGGGGCTAGTGGACATACCTCTATGTAGGATGTGTGAACAGGAAGATGAAACTGTCAGGCATGTCTTATACGAGTGTACTTGTGATGCACGAGTGTCTGGAGTTATCGTCAATAGGAGAGTGTGTGTTCGGCGAGCCTGGCCTACAACTGCCAATATAAAGGAGATGTCTCCTAGTGACCTGTCCACCTTCCTGGAAAGGACAGGATGGACAATGACCAAGGAGGACAACTCCTCGTGAGGATGTACAGATACGGAACCCGGTTCCAGTTTATAAATGTGGATTACAGTATGATGGTTTATCTATTTTGTAATCATTTTTAGATGGGGTAGAGGAACTTTCGTATTCTCGTAATAGTTCGAAAAGTGAATACATAGACTTATTCAAGGGAAAAGCTTCAATTTGATATAGACATATCCAAGATGAAGTACATAGTTAGCATGAATAATTTTTTCGATTGGAAAGTGCATTTTTACTCTTCAGTTAGTAGCAATGTTACTAGAGGAAATTGAAAGTAGAAATCATGGTCCTGATGAATATATCAACATTTATGTTGCTATAATGCAAAACAAATGCAAAACCAATTTGTAATGATGAATGTTTGATAATAATTATAAAACATGTTTTACCAAAATATTCACCACCTGAATCTGAAATCTGATCTTGCTTATATGGAATTATTCGAGAGTTAAAGTAAAAGTAATTGATATAATGACTCAATTCAACTTTTCAACTCAATTTGAACTTTTCAACAACATTCAATGAATTTCCATGTCAGGCTCAAAGACGAAACGGACTGGTTTAAGTTTGACGATAGTCGTGTCACGAAGTGTTCTGGCGATGCATTGAATCGCCTGCAGCTGAAAAAGCAAATGCGCCACTGGAATCAATGAAGTCGCCCCAGAGCGCCAAATAATTCTCATTATTGTTTAATTTTTATCGTTTTTTTGATAAATTTTTATTATATTTGAAAAAAAAGGCAATTTCATTCCTCTGATAAATGTTATAGATGTAGAAGGGTTGGTCATAAGATCCAAGAGTGTGAAGAAATTATTTTATCATACTTGCAGAAAACCTGATATGATGAGTAACGAAGACTCATAATCAGACCGTCAGGATGTTTTCATTAGAAAAGGTCTGACACATAATAGTTCTCGAAGATTTACAAAAAAAAAATAACCTTGATACAGAAGCAGTTCATCAGGCCAGTTTTGTTTATTCAATTTTTCAAGCTCTAAAGTTGTAAAAGTTGAAAAAACTGATATGTTGCCTCTGTTCGTTTATGCATTTCTATAGGAACTCCTGAACCGTGGTAGTTGAAGATAGAAAATAACATTATTGAAAATCCTGAAAGATATCACCGTTGGATGATAAAATAAGCATACTCCTAGTAAAATTGCTTCGAAAACAAACATAAATGAATGGAAATCGTTAGTACTTTTTGACCAGAGACAACAAGTAATTTATGATTCGCATAATGTTCCAGATGAGCAAAATTGCTCATTTCAAGACTTTCGAAAAGGTTGCAAAACAATTTTATTGACCACAAATGAGAAAGCAGTGTAGTCAGAAAATGTCCAATTTGTTGTACTTGAAAATCACTGCTCAACGTTCTGCTTCGATGGAAGCAGAACAAAAAGCTAGTTTTCCATTTCAGTTCATCAGTACAGGTTCTTTTCGAAGAAGTTCCAAAAGTAATAGATTCATGATAGTAGTTTCAGATAATTTTTCGAAGCTATCAGCTCAATCTATCGATATTTTTAAAGAAAGTTGATTTGAATTTTGTTATCCCTCAAGTATTATTGGTAGATAATGCAAATGCTCATAAGGGTGAAAGTTTAATGTCTTCATCAAAGAATAAGATGCCTGTAGTGATGTATACTTGTCGTTATCAACCAATTGAAAATCCCACAGAGAGAATCAATAGGACAATAGGCAACAGCTATAAGGTGTTTCATTGAAGACTCTCATAAACAGTGCGATAAGGAAATTTCAAAAATTCAGCAAACCATTAATTCTGCTACTCACGAAGTATAGGTTTCAGTCCTAATTTTCAAATTATGATAGGATTGTCCCAGCTAATGATGAATATTATGGTGATGAGCATATTTTTCAAGTATGTGAAAAGGATTGGAAACGAATATTTTTACTTTCGGATGATGCAAATGATTAATGCTGCTGAGTCTCAAAATTGAAACCGTTTTGAAAATCAGATTATGATTTTTCAGTTTGGGTTTGAATAACCCATGCAAAATATATTATTTGTTCATTGAATAAAAAAGTAATACAAATCATGAAGAAATTATGAAACAACAAAACATAATTGGTGCTCCGAGGCTACTTCATTGATTCCAGTGGTGCATTTGCTTTTTCAGCTGCAGGAAAACCCGGTAAAACTTGCAGCACCACATCATCTGAAGATCTTGACCTACCAATGTCCTCTCTTCCATAAAACAAAATGTAGCGTGTCTCCAAGACATCGCCAGAACACTTAGTGACTATCGTCAAACTTAAACGAGTCCATTTCTTCTTTGACCAATGTGTAATAAAGACCTTATTCAACGCCAGAACCACACTGAACGATGACTGTATGAAGATTATAATAGTGGTCTGCTAGATTAAAGTGTTCATCTATTCCAAACTTTGGTTAGAGTTTTGTGCATCCGTCAGATGTTGAATCATGTTAGGAGATCATCAGTGTCATTATTAGATTGACTGGTGCCTCAGCTATACTTGTTTTCTCATAATAATCGATTAGTTTGGCGCATGTTTGTCAATACAGTTGATCCTCACCCGTTGAAAGTTACATTTTCAGATGATTTGACAATATGCTTTGCACGGACTGGTTATCAGTCTTATTAGGAAACGCTAGTTGAAGTTCCAGATAATCACATACGTTTTCGTTACCTCGCGAAAGTTTATACAAAGTGAACAAATGAGGATTTTTGCCAGCAAAAGATCTACGAACACAAGATGAGATAAACTATACGGAATCATTCAATTCAGAGCAGTCAGGAGTATTTGATTCTGCTATTCTTTTTGCTCACGAAAAGTGTTCAACAAGAACCCCAAGAATTCGGAGCAATCCTATTGTTGTCCTAACGAGTATCTAGTGGACTTCAAAGACTTCAGGAAGTAGATCGGTAGGAAAGATGATATATTTTTTCGAAACTGCAACTGAATGAACAATTGTTTGAGTTTGGTGAACATTCTCGTTCTCGTTTATCGTCAAAACTTCGTTCTTGAAATTCTTCGTCAAGAAAAACACTTGTGAAATACTATTCATGTAGCAAGTGTTTCTGAATTATCTAATTAAATTTTCTTCTCAAGATTTTCAGGACAAATGTCTACTGATTCGTAAGGAAAAACATGTTTCACAAAATCTGTATCAGAACCATCTATCAAGCTGCAATAGATCCTTCCAAGTGATAAAGGGTTTCGTAGAGGGATTGATTCGGCTCGTGGTTCATGAAGCTCTTCCACTGAAAGGTAACCAAAACCACGAGGACTACAGCTCACATTTTGTGGGCAGAAATGACTTAAGTCCATTGACCGCACTGAGAAAGGAGAAGATAGATCAATCACTTGCGAATTAATCTTGTTTGGAGACTGATGAATATACACACATCTCGGCTTGTTCCGAAAAGATTTCAGTTTCATACTGAAATGAGAGCATTGCATGATCTCATCAAAATTATGTGAAGG